CACATAAATTATTGACATATTACGGTTCCTTTTTCTTTGTCAAACTATTGTTTCCAAAGTTAAAAAATGAACTTTTATGCTAATTACATTTATAATTCAAAAACTTTTTCAACATCCCCAAAGAATTATTTCTTATATTAAATACATTTATGAAATCACCAAACATAATTGTTTGACTTGTATTTATTCTTACCATGTGTTTTCCTAATTCTAATCCTAAATCTAATCCTAAATCTTTTAGGTCACAGAGATCAGGGTGTTATTTGCATATGTTTTCATAACTGCACCTATTGTGCCATTTTGGCATACCTGCAATCCAGAAAATGCACTTGCTAAAATGGGTCTCCTACAAAGAACTAAATGTAAAAGTGTACACCACCGAAACAGATCTTATTTAACCTGCAGGTGAGTTGATAAAAATGTAAAACGTTAAAACTTTCCTATGCGAGGAGCCAGTGCCTCTTTAAAAGTGGTATAAACACACATCCCATCACCAGATGTTAAATGGTTGTATAAATCACAGCAAAGTATAAAACTGCACTTGTGTAATTGTGTTTACTTTTTACATTTTATTCATTTTTATTCTTCCATTTTCGCTGTCTTTTTTTTTTTTTTCAAAAACAAAGAAAGCCACCATGCATGGACTTTGGATCAGTTTTTTCATATATAACAAACAGAATGATCTTTTACTTGTTATCTTTATATTAAACTTATTTAATTTTGTTCTGTTTGTTATTTATATTATTCCAGCAAGAAACCTTTTGTTTCATATTGTATTAGCACCGTTTTTTATTGTTTGTTTCTTTTTTCTTTCTGTATTTTCATAATTTCAGAAGAAATCAGACGGTCCTTACCTTGATGAATTAGTGAGACGTTTAAGTGAGCCAACGGGATCCTGCTTCTTTCTCTGCTGAGAGTTACTGGGACGAACAAATAAATGTTACAAAAAGAAGGTGGAGCAACAAAGTGAGTAGACAGGTATTTCTGTTTACAAATTCAACAATGCGCACACACACATAAAGCATGAAACATTCGCACATTGTTTCCAGCTTTTTGAAGATATCAAGTTTGGTTTTCCGGTATTTTTATACAGGGAGCATATTCATTTACAGGTAAGCAGGGAGAATTCATCTTAAATAATAAATAATAACAGCTTCTGTTTAAATATTAATGGTGGTTAACAACAAGTATTCTTAGCATTACAGGAGATTTGGACATCTTCTAGGTTTCCAGGAAGATATTAAAAAAAAAGAATGAAAATGACCAAAAAAAAAAAAAAGGAAAATAGTGGGACTGCTGTTATCTCTTAAATGTGCTATAATCTCTTTCCAAAGTCATGGATGTTCATTATAGATTTAGAAATGTTCTACAAAGGGGTCACTGAGATGTTGTTCGGACAGGATAAGTGTGGTCAAATGAGACGGGGAAGGTGATCAGGACTGCAGGGGTGGAACTGTCAGAAAGCAGAATAGCAGACACGCAGGGCAACCTGTGTGCCTGTCAGTGTTGGGGAGTTTCGTGTGTGTGCGCATGCGCATTCAGGTGTGCTCGGGGGCATGCTAGTTCATGTGTGGACACACACAGGGCGTCAGAGGGGTTATACGAGTTTATGTGTTTTTAACTGGGTTTTAATTTAATCAAACCATAGGGTTTTTTAATTAAACAATTTTTATCACTTAGGTGTATCTCAACATTCAGTTATGCAGACATATGTGTTCTTAAAAGCAATTCTTTGTTTTGAAGCTGAGTGGAGTGGAAGCTGTTTTGGTTCACAGTGCACCTTAACAAAGAGGGGATGCTTTTTATTTACATCTAGTCAAAAGTGTTGGTAATAGTGTTTTAGTCACACTAATTTTGTGATTCTGACAATATCTCAGCTTGCAGTGATGCATGCATTTTATTTTAAAAACGGCACAAATGGGAATTTCTTCTGAATGGGTAATGTCAGCATCTTCACAAGCGTTTCATTTAATCAAACCCCTAGTTTTAATTTAACTAATTTTTACACATCTACTAGGGTTTCTTTCAAGGGTTGATGCGATCATTTTATTTAAAAATTGGGATTTCATAATGTTGAACTAAGAGTGAGACAAAGCCAGCTAGTTTTTAACACAGTAAATGGTCACAAATAACATTCAGTCCTTTAGAAAACAAATGCTATAAGCAGGCAGTATCGCTCTTTCAAACTAATTGTGTTTTAATCACACTCATTTTGTGATTCTGATGTCACAGCATGCAGTGATGCAAGCATTTTATTTATTTAAAAACGGATCAAACGGGCATTTCTTCTGTAAGGGGTTTCATGGTTTAAGAGTAGTTTTTAACACAACAGATGGTCGCAAATAACATTCAGCTCTTTAGAAAATAAACGCTGCAGTGATACTTCTAAAACCAGTCGCCCAGACCCGCTCTGTCTTTTCAACAGCTGGCTAATTGTTTGAATTTGTTCAGGATTACAAAAGCCCACCGCGGGTATCATTTAATTGTTGGGATTCCTTAGGACAAGGAAAAAGCCGGCAGGTGTACCAGCCGAGCAAGGCCGGGACCCAACCTATTGTTTAAAGTGGTCGGTATTCGGCTCTTTCTGTAATTCCTCGACAAGGTAAAAGCCCCGCAAATGTACCAGTCGAGCAAGGTCTCGCCTATTTTCTGAAGTAGCCAGCAACAGCGGTCCCTTAGGCCTATCTTGGCCAGTTACACCGGATCTCAGCAACTGCGTGCCCCCACCCTCATTGTTTTAAACTTGCACAGCAAGGTGATGCCCTGCAGGTGTATGCCCCCCCCCCCTCCCCCAAGACTTATAGGCACCCCATCTATTGTTTTAGAAGCACCCGGTCCTATATGAAGCGTTCCTGAGAGCGTGAGACCCTTGCCATTTCGCGTCAGGACCAGGCTGTATGTTATAGCCAGCGCTTCATAAATGTCTGTCTGGCAGCGCAGATTATTCAAACTGTTCTTAAAACGTGACTCATTTGTTGTCCAAAAAACATTTCATTTGCTACAGAGTTGATCCATGTTTCTATGGACAGTGTTTCATACATCAACAGCTCTGAAAATCACTTTTAAAGTAATGTAGAACA